TGTTATTTTTTTTTCCAAAATGTGAACATTCATCAGGATACAGTAAGCCTTAAAAATATACATTGCAGCTATACAAAACAGCTACCATTATCTCAATATTTAATTTCAAATAGACTAGTGACCATTATCTCAATATTTAATTTCAAGTAGACTAGCTACTATTGGATGTCTTCTCTTTTTAAAGACATTGCTTAAGTCTTGTACTGTGCCAAGAGCTAGATCTTCTGTTCATTTCAGACCCTAGCTATCTTAACTGCTTACGCTCCCATTTCTCCTTAAATTGATGAGCCTGGGCTGCATTCCAAGATAAAGATGCATTCCTCCCTTTGGCTGCCTCATAAATGTAGTCCAAACACTTTATTTAATTTATTTGATGTGCAGTGCAGCAATTCCCTTTCCTTCAGTATTTATAGCCTCAAGTGCATATTATGTTTTCAGAAAACATCACCCATGACAAAGATTTCTGAAAAAACATGAGACACGAACGTGAATCCTTGAGGAAAATTTCTCCAAATTTGTTCACAGACATTTTCTGTGCAACTCTAAGAGCTCACCTGCAACAAAATATTTAAACAAAGCAATAGATGCCAAGAAACAATGTGCGCTTACAATCAAAGTACATTATCCTTCAACTATTTTCCTTCACTGTGACATTTTACAGGTATTCCTACATTTCTGTATTCCTTGAAGTATTCAGTTCTGACCTTTATTCCAATGTTCCTGCAAAAATCCTCACTTAAATATAATTCACATATCTAAGTCAGTCATGAAAGCTGCAGCTTTCACTGTGCCATGTAATTGCAATAAATATAGTATTCTTCTGTGCTAAGATAAGGAGACATTTTTATATCATATTTTCTATCTTTTGACAAGCCTGCTGAGGTTTCCAACAAGGTCACAACAAATCTGAGGAACTGTAGTGAATCCCCACCAGGATTTTTAAGATCCTCAGATTTTCTCACCGAAATGTCTTCAAACACAGGAAACAACAAGCTTGAACCAAAATGAAAACAAGTATTCTTGATAGGCCCAAAGCCTTTTCTGCAGGAGTGTTAGAAATCAGGAACGTTGGGTCATACAACCTCAGTTTTGTCAAAATTAACATTTACAAAACTCAAGACCCATGGAAATACGGCTAGGGAGCTGTGCAGAAAAATTCAGTGATACTTGTAGCATAGATAAAGAAATTCTACTGAAAATAAATTAACTTAGGATGTTCCTTTAATTAAAAAAGATAACTGCACAAAGTAATCAGGACTTATAGAAGTCAAAGGGCCATTAATATTGTTAAAAACCAGAAGTCCTTATCAGGGGACAAACAAAATAACTTATTTCTGAGGAAAAGGACAGAATTCCTTATAACATTTTCATTACCAACATTCAGGAAAACTGTATTCAAAATTTAAAAAGTCTCAAAAACAGAAGCTTTAATAAGGTTAAGATCTAACATGAAAGCTTTTCAAAGAAACATAAACTGGTATAATTTCAGAAATTTACCGTGTTCTATGTTAGTGTGATATAAAGTCTTCTTGTGTTGCTGCCATGAACCAAGGACATCAGAAAGTGCATGACAGTCTGTTGCTCATCACTGATAGTCAGGTTGTGCTACTGTAAAACTCAAATATTTCCAAGCTCATGGGTGCTCTAGCTTCTGCTTCAAGCAAAGTCCTGTCCTTCAGATGTGTGATCTGCAGATAGCACAGAAGTGTCTACTACACTACCTGCCAATGAACATGAGGGCTGGGAAGGACTGCAGTACTCTACATGTACTTCCAAAAGTTGAGAAGGACTAGGGTAAACATCAATCTGTGTAAGCCACTATCTACATCATGCTCCCTAACTGGATGATGAGTTGGTCCTAGAAAGCTAACTGAAATTTCAACCCTTCAGAAGTGAAAGTAAGAAGTACACAAGACAAAAATATTCCTGTAAGCTCATGCAAAAAGATATCAGATCTTAATTGGAAGGTTGATGACTCCATTGGGCAGGGCATGTGTTTTTAACATATATTTTCCTCTACTTCTATAGTGAAGGCACACAAGTGACTGCTGAATGACCCTTCAGAATGAGAAAGAAGACCTCCAAACCAGGTATTCTTATTATGGACCTGGCTTTTACCTTCTGTAAATCCCCTGAAATTTATGTAGAAGAAACCCATAGGAGTTGACTCCAGCGAGCATGTCCATTGTTTCAAATGGCTGAAATAATGGTGGAAGCATTGCATAATTTCACTTTGTAAAAGACAGTGAATAGCATGCATGATAGTCTGGAGACTTCACTTGCCCCTTTCAACTCAGCTTGTTAATTGTTGTTATATTCTATAATTCTATAAAGTTGTTAATTTCCAAACAATTTTTCATTTGCAACTTTAATCTTCTGTTGCTGTGCTAATATTTTCTGGGGTTTGGGTTGTTTTTTTTTGTTTGCTTGGTTTGTGTTGGATTCTTTTGTTTGTTTTGTTTATTTCAAGGCACAAACCCAGTGTTTAATGTTTTGATTCCCATTTTTCTTAAACCTTGTCAAACCCATACCTGAATTTATCCAGGTTTCTAACACATTTTTTCACCTTTGGTGTCTTTTAACTCCTTTAAAATATAAAGTTTTCCCAAAGCCTATTTATCACTCATTTTCTTCACACTTCACTGTTTCTTTGCACATGTTCTATTTTTCTTCTCTATTCAACAAATCCTTATATCTTTAGATATACAAATATCAGGTCTAATTCAATGCCTTCCAAGTTCCAAGAAATGTTGGTGTCTGTCAGCAGTAGCACAGACAAGGGACCCTACGCATAGTAATTTATGTATCTAAAGTTCTTATATGGGGCATCCAGAATATGTAGAGCAAACACCCCAACATAACCAATGATGAAAGATTTAACAGGAATAAAGTCAGTTTGCTGGGTGGCAGAATAGAAAGAATTAGTGTACAGCTTGTAGGGGATATTGTGGACAGCGGACACAGACATGGGTCACAGGTTTACAAGCTCACAAGTTGTTCCCAAATTAGTGTTTGCAGCTGGTGCATACAAACACATGCAGATTTTTTTCTTCCAGGGTAGCAATGTTTCCAGCAAAGGTTGATTATGAAGGTATCATACTAGTCCATGATAAAATTAGCTCCTGCATTGGAAGACTAAGTTTGGGAGTAAATATTGTCTTTGATTGTAATTCATACTGATATTAGTGTACAAAGTAAATTACATGTAGATTTAAAAAAAATAAGCTGAGAGATGAGTCCTTTCTTAGTTTGGTTTTTTCTTTTTTTTTTTTTTTTTCAGTAATGGTTATTCTCATTGTGGATGAATCCAAATTCTTTGGTACGACTACAGAAAATGAATTTAAATAACATACATGGAAGTTGAATGTTTTGTGTGATGCAGCATACTGGACTGTAGCTTTCTAACTGATAGTGTAGCCTATTCCATGCTGATTTTTCATTAGAAAAAATCTCACAGGTGATTTCTTAGGTTTTAATAATAACTGTCCTCAAATTCAGGCCAGTAAAACTCCAGTGAAGTTGAGGGAATAGCCTCAAGAATTAAACAGGTTTGGTATTTTGCTATTAAGATTCATGGAGTTTCCTTGCCCCCAAAGTGGAATGGCCGGGTACAGCGAGACAAGGCCAAATGAAATTAATTTAGAGGTGGTTATATACAGGCCGTGCAGAACACACTTTGTGGTTCAATTATTGGTTTCAAACAATAAAAAATCCCTAAAACTACTAAAGACCTCTTTTTGGAAACGTGAGAGAAAATGGATGAAACAGGAGTGTGATCCAGTTTTACAACAGTGAGTATAATAAAACCATACTCAAAATGATTTATTCAGTGCTAACAAATACCTTCAGATATTCCCCCCACCAATGACTATTTCAATGCAGATTTTGTGCAAGCAGAAATGTAATCCAGAGCTGCATGCTAAAAGCCATTTCAAATGTATGCAGATGTTACTGGGGAAAAGTAAACCATACAAAACTAAAAACATAAATACAAAGCCTCCATTGCAAAAATAAAATTGCTACTAAATGTAAGCAAAGAATGTTTTGGAAAGTACAGAGACCAGAACTAGAATCACTCAAGCCAGCTACAGATCGTGTGCTAAAAGTTGCAGACCCCTACCTCTGAGAAGATAAAAGATTGTTCTGGAGCTGTAGGATTTGACAAGATTTTACTGTATATAGTAACAAGGCCATTAGAGAAGCTGTTTGCCTATCTGAACCTGACAGTTAGTAGAGGCTCAACATCCATCTAAGAAATTACATTTAAAAATAAACATACCCTGAGCTTTAGAAAAATATGAGATTCTCTTTGCAAGTTAATCACATCCACAGAGCTGAAAGGAGTTTACAGCATGCAACAGAACTTGCGGTGTAAAGAAGATAAAGCTAATATGGAAGGCAGAAAAGGATGAAAAGAAGAAAAGGATTTCATTGTGGACTATTTCCTTATATGGTTTTGTGCAGGCATTGATTGTGTGATATAACAGAGGAATAAAATTAACAGAATGAAACAGAAACCTTGCAAGAAAAAAACATGGCTAGAGGAACAGGCAACATTCTAGAAAAAGCTCTGAAGAAAAAAGATATACAATATTAATAGCAGACATATAGAAAGACTAGTACCCAAATATAGAAGAAAAAGAGAACCATAGTTGATTATTCTTTTATATAAATTGGCGCATCAGTTTGCCATGTCTTCTGTTGAATTAAATTGCCAGCCCCTCAGAGCAGGCAGATTCTTACAGGGTGTTGTAAAGTGTAGCACAATGGAGCCCTTATTCTGCATGCAGGTTTGGGGCATTACACTAATAAGAGGACCTCCTTCTTTTAAATGAATTTCTGAGATCTGAGAACAATTTGGCAGTGATTATGATTGACAATACATTGTCAGTCTGACGTCTTTTGTCCCAGTGTTCCACGGCTGGAAAACCATATGCTTAACTGTAAACTAAACTCTAAACCCTTTTTAATGTAAAGAAATCTTCAAGTACTTGACTTACCTATGAAAGCAGAGCTCCCTGGACTGACGGTCATTTTTGTTCCCAAAGGAGAGGTCAGCACTGAACGAGTGCTGGTCCCAGCACTGGAGAGAACTGCTGTCAAGTCTTCTAGATAAGGAAGAGGTTGTGGAGGCTCTGGTAACAGATTGGGAGACTAAAGTGATGAGTAACATCATAGCAGAAAACACCTCAGGCATATCAAAAAAACCCACCACCAGCTGCTTCTGCATTATTTGACATGCTGCAGTATTACCATTTCAGAGGGGCAACTTTAGACACCTACTAGTAGTCTGGAAGCTGCACCATCCATAGAACCTGTGCTCACTCTACTCATGAAAGACGAGAGCTGTAACAGATGCTGTAACGGTGTTGCACCAATAACAGAGACTGGGCTTCAAAATTTGACACTTCACTAACAAATGTACAGAAGCACTTACAAAGTCTGACTGTACCATTCATCTGCCAGGCATGGAGAAATAACAGAAGATGAGTTACGAGGAAAGGAAACCCCTTTCCCACTTATCCAATTACCACCAGGTAACACTTCCACCTGTACTTCACAGGTGACATTGTTTTTTCAAATCGCCCAGCTGGGATTTTTTGTCTGTTGTTTAGAAACCTAAGAAAAAGTAAACTTCACCCCTCAGTGAACTTGGGAAGTGCTTTTTAAAAGCACACTGGGTTTATGCACCTGTTAGGTGTGAAACAGGTGGGTATCACAGGGGTATGTAGAGAAAGGCTGCTCAGCAGAGGCAGAGCACAGGGAAAAATTGTCACCATTCTCATTTCAAGAGACCCACTTTAAGAAATTATTAACAAATGCTTTTCTTAAGTAGTAAGTCTGAAAGAGAGAAACTGAATATCTCAGCACTGGGAGGTGCGGGTGTTCTGCTTCGACATTTTCTCCTTATCCATCTTCCTTTGACAATCACCTTGTTTCTGGTGATGCTGCCCAGGAAACAAATGCAGACTGATTCTTTTCTTAGAACCAGGGTATTTCTATGCCATTACCTCTTTCCACATTCTTTCATTTGCTCTACAGGCTGGGTGTGCCAGCAACCACATTGCTATTGCTGCAAGTGCAAAATAACCTGTACTCACCAAGAACCAACAGCTGGGAGCTTTCAGTTACCTCCCCACGATGATTGGCTGCCTTGCAGGAGTACAACCCCTGATCTGACAGAGAAACATTCTCAATTAGCAGCAACCCATCATGCAGATGGTAAGCAGAGGACAGCTTGACCTTGTTCTTAAACCAAGTAATTTCTGCTTCAGGAACACCTGGAAAAACATTGACAAAACATAACACAAGGAAGATATAGTGGTTATTGAACAGTGTTATAGTTGCTACAGGCAAAACTGTTACGATAGAACAATTGAAACAAGATTTTAATATGACTTCCAAGTGACTTTTTTTGCAGTTCAGAAGCATTTAGTCAAGTCTTTCATATTGCCTGCCTTTATGCGTCTAAGATCCCTCTGAGACAGAGCAGAAGATTTAAAACCGATCGGAAGTCTTCCCTTTTAGTGTCCATTACTGTACAAGTGAATTCTGAACTCATCACTTTTAAAAGTAAGCCTCTATTGTATCAGAGCAAAGGTTAATGTAGCTTAGTATCCTGCCTCTAGAAGAAGCCATAAGCTGGTGCATCTTCCAGCCTCTCACTAGTTTCAGCTCGAACTTTCTGAGTCAAAATTAGTTTCTGTGCACTTAGGAGGCCTCCATGGACTTCTCATCTTTTTTGACATTATGTAAACAATTAGCATTTACATCTTCAGAAAAGCAGTTTGACTGATCTCACCAGCAGTCTTCAGACAACAGACTGTTATAGATTCATAACTCATTGTAGAAAGAATTGCCTGCTTTTGTGTGCTTGGATCTAAGGTCCAGCTACCTCTAGTCTTGCAGTAGATAGTATGTCCTCGGCAGAGGGTTTTCTACTTTGACTTAAATGCATACCAGATTACGTAATTTAGTGTCACTGGCTACTAAACAAGTGGTTTATATGAAATAATATTGAAAGTGTCAATAGATGGGATAGACCTATGGAACTGTGCCTGGAAGTTAATGATAGTGTGTGGACCCATGGCTGTAAGGAGTAGTACATCACTAATCCTGGTAACTGCTGGAGTGTGTGCTCTCCCCTTTACAGTATCCTCTGTATGTGGGAGGCCATTAATCTCATTCACATTAACATGCAGTTTCCCTGTGTCTACTGTAGATTAAGGCCTTGTGTACAGGCAGTTACTCTTAAGTACCTGCTGTCCACCTAAATTCATCCCTGCCTTATGTCACTGCAACGTGTTCCTCTGCTCACTGTCACTATCTTTCAGGTTGTACCATCACATCAAAAACCAGAAGCCACTGTTTGTCAATTCTGTGGCTCTGGAATCAGAAATATCTCACTTGGTCTGTGCCCACTGAGCACAACCACACATCTGTCTGTATTCACAGTGATCGCCTGATTGCAGGTGCCTCACTAAGCATGTGCAGATGGAAGTGGGAAAGGGAGATTTTTGCTATTCGTCCACATCAAAGCAATCTGGCCTTTTTTTCACCTTTCCCAGAGCCACCTGGTGACTGTGCTAAGACATCTAGAATGAGTACGTCTGAACTTGGCATACAGGAAGGAAAGCTGAAGCCCTGTAAGGGCAGAGGGTCTTGTCCACACTCAGAAAGTAGCAGGAAGCAGACTGTAAAAGACTGCAAGGTTTTTCTCACCTTTGTCTGAGAGTAAATAGCACATGCTGATTGAGGTTGTTCATGGCATACCCACAGAAATAATCCTTCTTGTCTACAGTGCTGTTTTCCAAAGGCTTACCCTTGTTTGTGTTGCTACAATTCAGCTTGTTTAAAAGGATGGACTGTTGGCCTGTTTCTGCCTGGCCCTGCTGGGATAGGATCAGCACACAGCTCTCCATCTGGCTCCTACTCTTTGACCTATGTGGCATGGGTGGGTCAACCATCACTTAAAACCTCATTCTGACTTTTTCCGGAGCATCCACACAGAGTCCTCAGAGAGTTCAGACAATAGCTGGATATCAAACACCACCAACTCTTGAGTTTATTCAAGTCTGTGTGTTTACTGTGTTTTCACTGTGGGGAAAAGAAGTTTGAGAGGCAAACTCTGGAGAGCAAATGAGAGAAATGGAGACTTTTCCAGACCTGCAGTCCCTGAGGTGGAAAAACTCACATCCCAGCTCTTGTCCTTCCAGTGCCACAATACTGAAGGGTTGATCCACTCTCTCTTGCAGTCTAAGCTACTTACAGTAAATGAGTTTTCACATTACAGCTATTGACAACTTTGGCATGGAAGTATCAAGAAATGTACCTCAGAGATTAACAATCACAATTATAAAATTACAAAGCTTGCCCCAATTCCAACCAGGGCTCATTTTTTTTTCCATTATTCTGAAGACTAAAATTGGGTAGACCTTTCAAGTTCTTCTTGAAAATAACGGAAGTTAAGTGCAAATAGTGGGAGAAGAGGAAGGCATGAGGAGAGCTGAGAAGGGAAAGGGACAATGAGGGTTTCATATGACCTTAGTCCTTAGAGATAAAGTGACAGACAAAACTAGGTTGCTTCTTGCAGATGACTGCTCAGATAGTCTTAGTCCCGAAAGGCAGATTTCTCTTGTATACACTTCACTAGCAGAAGAAGCAACAAGGGGTTAAAGGCAAGACCCATTACCATTGAAGTATTACTGTTGAGTCTAGGAAAGGTGCACCAGACCTACACAAAATGTCCAGCAACTTTATAAAAACCTTTTTCTGAGTGCTACTCTACTGTTCTTCCTCTGTCTTTAATGTGAAGTTTCCACACTAACAGGAGGTTATTTGAAACTAACCTGTACAGCTGTTCCTACAGTTTGGTTCAGGGAAGATAAGCAGTATATGTCAATGAGCAGCAGCTTCATTTTCCTTTGTCCTTCCACCGTTAGTGACACATCTAAGCCTCAGGACAGGAATAGGAGGCAGCCAGCACAGGGATGAGCAAACGCATCATCGTGCAGCATTACCACAAGGGGTAGCAAGAGCATTTCAATCAGTTGTGTGGGGTAACAGTGAATGGCCGAGGACAGACGGCTGAATGTATTTGCCTTGCAGAAACAATCACAGACACGGAAAATCTGAGAGGTGCCAGCTGGAAACAAAGCCCACTTTGCTGAGCAGTCAGGACATCAGCTGGTGAATAGCTACCCAAGTCTATTCTTCTTCAGCTTTCCCTCTATCTCTGGGCATGTAGGCAGCACAAAAAGGCTACCTGTGATATGTAGCAAGGAAAACTGTGTATTCCAATCAAAGTAATTTTGCTAAACCAGGAGCTTTCAGGGAAAGGAAGCATAGCTGTACAAGGATCTAGCAGTGGTGACTTGTTTCTAACACCACAGCATTCTTGAAACTGTGACTTGCATGTCAGAATCCAGTACAGCTGGTGAACAAATATGAGTTATAAAACAATGTAAGAACTAGAAAAATATAACCTCCAGCATATAGATGAAATACAGAGAAAAAGAATGTTTAGGAGAGTTGAAAAAGCTGCAAGCTGAAACATCAGAGAGAGAGGATATAAAGGACATGATGGTAATATATTCTAAGTCACTCTTCCAAACCTGTTCTGACTCAACAGTGTTTAATAATACATGACATTTTGCAGGCAGGTGCCTCTGTTAGAAGTCTTATGGCCTGAAGGATGCCATGGAGAAATGTCCTAAGAACTAGATTTTTAATTTTTTTTCTCCCTTTCATGTCTAACTGTATTTTCAGTAACAGCTTGGGCCAAACTGATTGAGGCTTCTGATATCTGAATTAATAACTGCACAATTTAAATGCTGAAGTCAACAGAAAACTTCCTAGTGATACTGATGTGATCCAAATTGCTCCCATATCCCATCTGGAAGTGAAATTGTCCACAGCAATCAAACTTCCCACACCAGAAATGCTGCGGTCTTTCTGAAGTTTGAAGGAAATCCTCCAGCTGAAAGTCAGTGGCATCTGCAAGACTCCTGAGTGACTTTGGGTAGGAGTTCCCTTAAGATTAGTTTTAGAGAAGTCTGGGATTGACCGCAATCACCTAACTGTGTTTAAAAAATGTTCTTTCACCTCTATAGACAAAGTGGCAATGTAAAATGAAATAAAGCTGATTTTCAAGCTTGAATAAAGTCACAATATCTTTGTGGTATAATCAAAATGAGAGTTTCATCCTGACATCATTCATATCATGGGCCAATTAAACTCCAATGCATCCAGAATGATTTTGTTTACCTTGTCTTACAGCTAATATCTATAGATTCAGCTCAGAACACACATTTTGATAGTGCTTATGCCTTTCACAAGAAATTAAAGAGCAATATAAAATTACTCCCTAGGCTCTGGTAATGTTCTCTTTCATTATGTGTTGTTTTTAGAGAAACTTTCTCCAGGCTTATCAACACCTGCCAGAAGCAAGTGCATATTTCTGTCCCATGACAGCAAGAGCAGCTGTAGAAAATGTCATAACTGATCCTTATACTTAATATTTCTTTTACAAATATTTATTCTGCTGTCCTGCTGATTCTCAGTGAAGACTTGTCCTTATGTGAGCCAAGATCTCAAGATCCAATACATGCATGGTCCTATAGTACAGACTATACACCACAGTGATATCAACACATCTTATAATGATGAGATTAACAGGCACCAAATTCTGATCTGGAACAACTTTCAGTTGCTGTGCTGTCTCACAGCATTCTGAAAGGACTAGAGGGAAAGTACTAGAAGGAAAAAGACTACACCTTTACAAAGCTGTGTGAAAAGTTTTTTTCATCTAGATAAGTCTCTACATAATTTCTGGATATATTAGTTTGCTTTCTAATTATGTTCATTTTCGCACTCTAATTCTTTTTTTATTATCAGACGTTATTGCATTAATCATTGCACATTAACATACTATGATTTGATGGCCATTTCATTGTTAATGTCTTCTGGGGAACTCTGTCAAATTACATAGCTGTAAAGGTCATCTACTCCGAAGACGTCATAGGATATGACACATTTGCTGACTGAAGCAATAGTACATGTCACTCTTCTCCCTAGAATTGATTGTTCTAAGTAGAATGATCAAAAATATATTAAAAGGTTGGATAATCACAACCCTGATGCTAAAACAAAAAATCTGTGCTTATATTAGAAGGAAAGCTGTATTTATTTTCATGTTCTTTAACAGGTTTTATGAGATGATATATTATCCAGGCATGGGTGAGACAGCTGATGGAAATCACTCTGATCCTGGATCTCTTCCCATATGTAGCTTTTTTTAATTGCTGTTCAATTATTAACACTATTTGTATGAAAATAGGATTCTAGTGCCTATAAAATATTTCTGCCCTCATTACTCTTTTATTCCCAGTATGATTTATGTCTTTATCATAATTTCAACAGTATTAAACCCTGGTGTCAAGCATAGTTGACATTTTCTCTGGAGGCAGTAGCAGAAGATAAATGCCCATGAAGAAAATAATGATTTAAGCAAATTTCTTCTGTATCACAGAAGAATCCAATATACAGTAATGCCACTAGATAGCAAAAAGCCTTCTGAGAGAGAAGACAGTAATTCTGCTGTGACACTGTTAACATTTTCCATTATGGATGTAAATTGTCATAGTAAGTAGGCTTCATAAAATTGCTAGAGATTATTTTCCTCTCAGAAAAGGCACTGAATCTGTGCCCCTGACCATACTGTGCTCCCCTCCTGTAGTTTTCTGATGCCATAAGAACTGTGGCAACTTTGCTCATCCACGTCCTGTTCTTTTCACTATGTCTTTATACTGACAGGAAATGGCTGCACTTCTTAAATCAACAACCACTGTCAACATCTGCAGGGCTTCCCCATCTGCAGCTGAGAGAACCCAGAGAGAGAAATCCAGAATAATTTATGTTCATATAATATTTAGTCTCTTTCACACACTGTCAGTGCAGGTGGCCATGCAGGAGCCTGGGGAAAGAGTACAGCTTTAATCTCCTTCCTTCAAATCAACACTGGACATCAGCCTAATTGCAAGAGGCTGTCTAGTGTCTAAGTTGAGAGGGAAACAGAATTACTGAACTTACTCCTTCATGAACCACTAAGAAAAATTATACCGTATTCTTCTTTCATGAATCCCTCAGAGTAACTAACAAATTGTGATCCCAGGCTAGTGTTTGCACAGCTATTGTGCACGCTTTGCTAAAGGACAGATGACCAAATAGTGAAACTTGAGCCAGATACTCTTTTCACTTAATAATTTGCAGATGTGGTTGGCAGCACTTGTGATAACTACTAAGTGCTTAAAGTAAGCTGGAAGTGTAAACAAGGCAGGATATTTGTATATTTGCAGTGTAGATACTTACTTAGAGTCCCTAGCAGCTACTTTAGATGACAAGAGGCTAAAGCAAGTATCTAAGGGACTTCATACAAGTCTCCACCATAGATATTTGTGTAACACTCAGCATGGCTCACTTTGTGTTTTATAAGCTTCTCCCTTCCCCTCCCGTTCCCCCTTGTACTATGCATGAAAGTATAATGAATCGAAGATCTGGCCCTGGGACTTTAGAGATTTCCCAGCCATCCCTCTTCCACCATCCCTCCTCCCCATACTAACACCATTCCTACCAACATCTGTAGGACTGCAACATGCAGATAAGGTCAACCTTTTTTGGTCATATTTGGAAAGAGGGAAACTACTGCTGTAAGAATGAGGGACATTCAGTCTCTGGCTGGTAAATAGTTTCAGGGTGAACCCTGTTTCGGCAGAATTCCTCTGGATTCCTGCACTCTCAAGACGAAAAAATAAAAATCAGAAAAAGAGTATGCTAACATGACCTTAATTTGAAAATACAGAGTTTGGCAGGAAAAGAAGGAACTAACTGGAGTGGACTTTGAAAACTCCATCAATGAGGAAATGAATCAGTCCATGCTTGTATACTCTCATAAACATCCCCAACAGTTAGGAATGTGCCTCAGTTTTGCTGTATTCACATCATACTGTGTATCTCTAACAAAGATGCCTGTTCTATTGTCCCAGACTAATTTTCTTAAGCTGCCACACTTTTCTTGTTGGTATTGATAAAAGGAGGACAATTTCTATGCTAAGAATTAATGGAAACAATGGAGTTTGTCTGAGTCCTAGGAAAATCTTGCAGTTTTACCCAGTTGGACCTGAAGACACCAATTTAGCAAAGAACCCCACAGATACTTATAGCCAAAGGCACCTGCATGGGAGACCAAGTAATTTCTCACCTGCAACTAGGCAGCTAATGGTAACATTTGATCTCTGGATTGTTTTCACTGTGCTTCCAATATCAACAGTGACAGCAGGTGATTCAGTGTTGACCACAGTAGCTCTTGATGCCTTTATCAGTGGCTTTCCTGTATAAAAAAAAGCACCACAGTTCATTAGACCAAGCATACTGGACTTGTGTGGGACAGATGGCCTGAGATACTCTGTGTGAAAGTACCTACACAGGGCAGGCGAATAAGGGAAAGTGCTGGAGTGTGAGGCCATCTGTTCTTTATAATACTAGAGTGACACTACATTCCATGAGAGAAGCTGTCTTGGAAAAAGCATACTTGGAGCAGAGGTAGAATAGCATTAAAGCCATATGGACACACATGAGAACCAGGTGAATCAATAAACACCTGTACAACTGAACCTGCAGCAAGATGTTCAGCTGGTACTGCAACCAAAATACCACCCTTTGCCAAAGGCCAAACATAGGAAAAAGAAACCTGAGTGATGGCTACAGACACATTCATAGTGCAGGAGGTTTAGAGCAACATGCAAACTATTTCTACACACCTATTGTATTTACTTTAACCTACAATGAAAACATTAGGATTGGAAAGACCAGATCATAACCAGAAAGTTTTCTCATAATGATGAGAAAAACGCTTAAGATGAGGAACACAAACAAGCTCCTTTCTGTCAGATGACCTGTTCTATTTTATTTAAAGCCTGTAGTAACAGTGTTATGCATTAACACTGTTTATCATTAATCAAAGATACCTGCTTTGCCTGCAACAAACTTTTCAAACTGTTTTCAGTGTGCTTCCAACATTGGTGACAAGAAGCAAGTTGGTCAAGGTGTTCCCCTCCTGTTGTGCCTGTCTATGTGGTATTCGCTATGGAGTTATCCACCATCAGGATAACTTGAGGAGCCTTCTTCAACTCCCTTTGTAGGAGCACTGTAAAGGCATGCCTACATGACACAAAACAGTTCAGAGACACTTGGGCTTAGCTCTGAGAGAGGGGAGTGAAGCAGCAGAACTGGGTTAAGGCAGCTCCTGTGCCAGTCAAAATGCTCTGCAGGCAGGATTGTTGGCAGGAAGGGCAGAACATTACAACATCGCTTTAAGTGGTATGGGACAGGTGTTTTTGACTCAGTGTTGTATTTTCAAATTTATCTTTATCCAAAAATCTATAAACAGATTTTTTTTTCCTCCCTTTAAATAAGTGGTCAGATACAAAACAGGTTCAGATATCATCGTCTGCTTCTGAAAGCTGCAGTTTTAGGCTAATGTCTACCACTGGCTTAATTTGTGTGTTAATATGGAGGTGACTAAGGGAGAAAAGATAAAGGTGAGAAAAATAATTTAGTTTCATGGAGCTTATGGAAAGTCCTGAAAATTTAATTAAGCCTTAACTATAAATTGCTCCATATAGTTATATTTTCTGGGCTTTTAAAAGTTGTCTTTCATCTGGAATTTCTGTCATACCAGTTTGGGTTTTTTTTGGTATTTTTAAAATTTTTCTTTTCGTGATTTCAATGACTAGGAATAGCAAAGTAAAACTTTACAGTTTATTGTTGAAATATCGCCAAAAGTTTTGATGCTTTGTGGCAAAGCCTAAATTAAAGAAAGAAAAATTCTTCAGTTATCCATTAGCCTTTTGTTTTCCTGATTGGTTTCCAGAATATCATCAAAAGATTAAAAATCTGTTAGCTGTTCAAGCCATAAATGAGTAGCAAACCATTGAAAAATATGGAAATATATTCCACTGTCTTTTTTTGCCTGCATGTTTTAAACTGATGGGAAAATTCTTCAATGAAATAAGCTTTCAGCCCCATTCCTGATTCCTCTAAAGATGGTCTCAGCTTTCTAGCTTTTTTTGGAGAAGGTACTTCCATTATGCCAAAAATGCTGCTGCTTTGTCCCCAAAACTGCTCAGTACCTCATTTTGATATTTATGGCCTCATTTTATAAGATGTTTATCTCTTGGATGTGAGATGGAAATGTATACCAGCTCCTAAGCAGAGTTCAACTTGAGTCTGGCCTCCAAGAATGTTAATTAATCTAAACCAATTAAACTACAGCCTTGATAATTAATTATAATCAAAAAGCTATTAGCCTTCCTGTGTCACATGTATACCTAATGCTCAGTTTATTTTTCTATATCTTCACATAAAATTGTCTCCACGAACTACACTGTACAAGGACTATTGCTTTTAAACTCACTGGAGCAATAGGGATAGAATAACAGTTTTGACTGATGATTTTTTAACCTCATGTTCAGCTTCTTGCTGGTGCAACACAAGAGGTTTACTGTGGAGTTGCTCCTTATAAAACACTATATATACTGACTTAGCAGCAGCAACACTGCCCTGCTGCCCAGGATTCAGCAAAGATATTCCTGATCTGCAGTAGTGTAAAAAGGATTGGTCTGTTTTGTTTTATCTACATGTAATATGCAGATCTTCATTTTCTACTCTGGGTAATTCAGCTGTTCTCCTTCTATGGGACAGAAAATGTCTCTTTTCACTTGGTTTATTGATCATTAGAGCTTCATTGAGGGCCACTGCTGCAATCTTAGATTTTCTTTATGCTCCTCTTACCTGAATTTTTCTCTGTATTTAGTGTAAAAAACTCAAGCTCATCTACATCTATTCCTTCCTCTAATCATACATGGATACACTGTACACTGGCAGCTGACGGTCGCTGCCCAGGCACTGGAGGCCTCCAATTGCTTCCACATTCTGGACCAGTGAAGTGGAGAGGTCTGAAAAGTCAATAAGCTTTCTAGCATTCCTAATGTGTTTCCTTTTGCCTTTGTGATAAATAGGATCCTTCTCTAAGACTACTCTGCTTCATCACAGTCCTTCTGTCTCTTCTGCCCCTTCATCTTACTCAACAGCTCCTCATTCACGTTTGTTGCTCTGTCCTTCTGCTACTCCTGGTGTGGTTGTGAGCCTGCTGACATTGCCTACTAATGAACCTTGAAGAAACTGGATTCATGCACTTCCTCCCATTGCCCTTGACTTTTATTTGGGTGAGGTTTCTTTAGAACTGAAATCTAAACTAACAAAGGATATTTAGTCTGCTTTACAACTCAACTGTTATTGGAGAAATATAAACATAGAAGTAAATTTTTTGTGAACCTCTTTTTGCCAGCAATTGAAACAGCGTCAGCTATGCTTGTGCCACAATGGATCAAATATGATATAGGGCTTGAGCCTGCAAAGGGCTAGCTCTTCAGCTCTGGTATTTTTCAGGCTTGCCTAATGTACATCTGGGTAAGTCCTTCGATCAGACTGTTAGACTTGAAGAGATCAGCCATAGGTTTAAAATTAAGCATAAGAATTGGGAGGCTTGGACTGCACTGCCTATATGGGTTGTGAATAACCAGCATGAGCACTGTCTTGAGAGCACGGGTCAGATGCAGAAAGTGAGAAAAAGCATTGATCTCTTGCAGAACTCCACAAAGCTCACAAACTGTCTGTGAAAATTGAACTATGCCTCGGGGTTTTCAAGAGTTCACATCCCGTGTTTTCACCAGTGTACCTCTGTTGACCCACCTTGTCCACCCAGCATCCACAGCCATCTGTTTCCTCACAAAAAATTTCTGTCCAGAATCACACAAGTAGTAGGGACCATCCTGCAGTCAGACGAAGTGAACTATTACCTGCTAGAGTGACAGCAATGGAGACAGAATCAGATCCCAGGGCATTGGATGCATTGCAAGCATAGAAACCCACATCAGCTTCCACAGGCGCTAGTATCTGTAAGGAATCATCAGGCTGAAGTAGCATCCTGGAATGAAAAATCCAGAAAGAAAGATGTAACAGCCTCTTAGTTTGTGTAAGCATGAATACATTTACTGGGATTTTTTCAGGTTTAGGTAATTTTTTACAGTTCAGACCTTTAGGTTATATTTTAAATGCTATTAAGAAATTTAAAGTCTTATATAGAGACTTCTAAATTAAATTTTAGTTTCATTCCCAGTTCTTCTACTGCTGATATGTGTATTAGAGAAAGATTGCTGAGTACTTTGGACATCTGCCCATGGTTTGTGAAACCTCCTCTGCTGTGTCACTTCCTGTATGATGTTGAATGAGTTGCTGTCATCGTTTGAGCCTACTCAGCAGCTAAACGCCCCGCAGTCGCTCAGCCACCCTCCCCCACTTGAGAATGGGGAGGGAATTGGAGGGGCAAAGGGAGACTCGCGGGTTGAGATAAAAACAGTTTAATAACAGTAACAGAACAATACACTGACAGCAGTATCAGCAGGTAATGTACCATACAGCTGCTCACCACCCACCCACCAACTGACTGACACCCGGCTGCTGATCCCGAACACAAAGGCCCCACAGCCACACTCCAGGAAGTGAGAGCCCCTCCCAGCCCACTTCTGCCTTTATATAGGGAGCACAATGTCACATGACATGGACTATCGGCCAATCTGGGCCCAGCACTCCAGCTGTGCTCCCCCCGCCCCCCGCACACAGGCAAGGGCTCTCATACCTGGAGAGCCTCTGGGGTCTCAGTGTGCTGCAGCACTCCTCCAGCTACCAAAACAAACATGAATTCTATTCCAGCCTGAACCAGGACAGTTGCCTAGGCTCCCTGTCTCCCAGTTCTGCGAAGTAGGAGTAGCAATAGTAAAGAAAAAGCCAAATTATTGCAAGGGAAAAATAATGAAACCTGCAGAAGCTAGGTGGAAAGAAGTGAAGTGAACCACAGGCTCAGTGTGAAAGACTGAAATAGACTCCAAATTCTTTGATTGATGGGTAGCTTGTACAAACTCAGCAGTCTCGCTGCCCCTAATCGTCAGTGAAGACAGAGAGGAATCCTTAGCTCCCCCTTTGGCTGAACCAACTGTTTCTCTCCTCTACCAGTAAGAGTATCCTACTGTGATCTCAGTGTACAGTCCATGGTTAAATGGGATGAATATGACCTTAGAGGTCTTATGAACTGCTTATTTTCACATTCTGGTTTTGCAATGGTATAACTCCATCCGGTCTTGATGTATACCTGTTTAAGCAAGAATTCAGTCCATGGGCTCCTGTCCATCCTTAGGTATCCTTATTTTCAGCACAGTGTATTTAATTAGTACTCTTCCTTTCTCTTAATTTTTTTAGCTGAAACTGTTGATAGAACCTAATGATAAATTACTTTTCTCATCAGCAACTTTCAGTAGCTGTTTTACGTAAACTCTTAGTTGAGGTTGTGATTGACAGTGGCAAAGGTGAAAGGGAGGGAGAGATACTTCTGTAAAACACATGGAACAGAAGTCTGCTCACAGATCCTGGAAGTGATGAGTTTCTTTCCACTCCCACCCCCTCAGTAAAAACTGATGTCTCATGCACCAAAAAGCAACAGATACTTCATCTTGTACAACACTGTGGGTGATAGATATCTAAACCAAACCAGATTAGGGCCACCCATCAAAATCTGTTATAGGAAAAAATCCAGAGTTAAATTATTTTTTGACCATTTTTTGAGTATTTATTATTATTATTATTATTATTATTATTAATTATTATTATTAATTATTATTATTATTATTAAAAAAGGAAAGAGCTGCCTTTTGTCATCCAAGTTTTGCGAGTGCCTAGAAAAATGCAAATTTGCAAAACAAACATTAATAATTTTTTAATTGCCTCTTTGCTTTCACAGCAAAAAAACCCCAAAACCCAAAAACAGTGGTTGAAGGAATTCCCTCCCCACTTCTACTTTCAAGGATCTTTTCTTTCTTACCGCTTAGTCATAAACAGGGCAGACTTCTAGTTAGCCAATGCTAACAGTGCTAGCAGCTAAGACATTTCTTTACTTGCAAAACTACTGTTACTGTGCATCAATACCTCACACGTACATTTTTCAGTTTAACAGTGACTGGTTCAATCTCTACATGGAACTCATTAGTTTCAGAATTTGTCTCAAATTATACTAGCGTATAACAGTTAAAAGTTGTGTGCATTCTGCCTGCATGTGTGCAAATGCAGTCTGTAGGCTGAGCAGTCAGTCCTACATCAAACTAACACCTATAACCTCCTGAAAAGGTTTTTAGAAATGCTTCTGTCACCTAAATGTTGAGGAAAGAGCTTGCTTAATATTTCATGTTGTAAAACACGCGGGATTATAATTTGTTTGTTGTTAATCAACTCTGCTGATGTAAATCTCTCTTTCTCAGTTTAAATCATCTCAAGATCCAGCACAAATATTTTTAGGAATAGAAATAGGCCAGGTAGATAACTGCTTTTTTTTTAAAAAATAAACTCCAATGGAGCTCTATCTTTCTATCTTTGCAATCCAAGTTTTAATGTCCTTCTCTAGAAACAAAGTCAATGGTCTCTTCTTTTTAATAATTCTTTCTGGGTTTTGTGTGTCACAGTTTGGCATAGCTGCTTTTCCTGAAAGCATATCTTTTATTATCCTTCTTTGTATAGAATGATTTTGGCTGGATTCCCTACTTGCTCATAGATTGTTATTTTTGTTAGGTATTGGGTTGCTTGTCAGTGGTGAAGAAAATGCCAGCTGTAGCAATTCTTTCTGTCAGCAGCATGTCTTCAGAATCTCATTTATGGACTTAAAATAATACAGTTCAATGTTTAATCAGTCTCATCTCAGTTACTCCACACTGCATTGTCTCCAAGACAAAAATGTATTTTACAGGACCTATATTATTGCATAATTCAGATGGCACCTCACAAACACCTAATTCTATCACCTACTGTTTACATTCTGTTTCATGTCCATTTATAAAATACCTTTCTGTTTTAGAAAAGTTGAATTATCAAGTACCAACAGGTTCCCAGTGTTGGAAATTACAGCGTACTTGGAAGGCTTACTAAACAATGCATAAATCCCTCAAAGACTTTTCACTTTTAAAATTGATTCATAAGGAAGTTTTGTTTGTTTGTTTATTTTTTACAAAACATTTGCCATTATTTACAGAATTCTCCAGACTTTGCTATATATCAGGCTCTGAAACTGCGCTCAAAACCCATGCTGACACTTCAACCTTAGGAGAGAGTATGGATACTCATATTAAACATGCACTTGGGCTGAATATGAATATGACAAGGATCTTTTACTGGAACCACATAGATATTTTCAACTGCTGCAGCTTTTTGTGTCATATGTTTTCATTCTACTGAGTAACTGAAAACAAACACTTTTTTAGGGCCTGTGTTATATCTTTTTGTGACAGTACCTGGACTAAAGCTAAAAAAAATTGTGACAGTACCTAGACTAAAGCTAAATAAATTAGTTTTTGCAGGTGGAGCTATGTAGTAGCAGTCATAAATACTTTTAGGTGGATGGATGGAACTGCTCATGGAAGGGGGCAATGGGAATAGAGCCATTCGTCGCTACATTACTGGTCCAGACAAAAACCATGGCCACTATGCATGAAAGTGAGTGCCTTTATCTCAGTATTCAGTAATGCACAATACAGATAGCTATCATCCAACTTAAAATCAGAAGACTACACTCTAAAAATCACAATACAAACCAGATACAACCAGAATCTCGGTATACTCAGTAGGGCATGAGCTGAGGGACTTCAGCACAACTCTCTGACCTTTTTCACAAAAAGTCTCTCTGATACTGGTACAGGAAGGCCTATGCATATTAATTTTCTTATTCCCATTAAGAGAGAGGTGGGCTGGAAACTGGTTTCTCTTCTCCATTCAGTGGCTGGCAAAGTATGAAGAATGCAAACTACACAGCTGAAAGACATCTCAAGCATACCAAACACCACCACATGCAGATAGCCTTGCAGTTTACAGCAGCACACTGTGAGACTGCTTAAACTGTGGCTTTCATTTACACAGCTGATTGTCAGCCAGCAAGAGCATTCTGAGCCAAAACCAGAATACTGCTGTTAAGAGCCCAGCAAAACATCCACAACCCAATTTTTATATGCACCATGATTTCTAAACTTCCATTAACTCCAAAGCTACATATGCTGAATATCTCTGAAGCCCAGAACTCTGCTCATTTTCTCCTGCACCCATCAACCTGGAGGAACCATAAATGATGAGTTCAGAAGGAAGTTCATAAAGTGGAAACTGCCTCAACCGCTATTAACTGGTAAATAAACTATTCTTCCTTGAGTCTTTCCAATAGAAATTTTGAGCAGATATACTTGCCTGACAATGCAGAAATACAATACAGTATTTAAGGCTATTTCAGCCAAACTGAATGGAAAAAAAAAAAAGTTGAAAGGCATCATAAAATTAAAAAATATAAAATCCAAACTAAAATTTCAGAAATTGTAAGACTGTTTTACTGTCAAATAAATGAATCTTCCTGTTGTTACACCGTGGCTGCTTGTGTGTTGTGAGATAAACTTGCAATTTTCTCATGAGTGTATGGAACAAAAAAGGGGCCCAAACAATAGGCCACAAACCAAGGTTGACTTCTGAGTGAATTCCCCAACCAGCAACCAGCATCTTATCAGCGTGAAAATGCAACCCTAGGAACAATCCCTGGGAACTATAAGCAAACAACAGGAAGTAACTATAAATCCCAAATGTAAAGAAAACCAGAAACTCCTCAGACGTGCCCGGATCCTGGCCAGATCTGGACATGCCAGAGTGAGGCATGTCAATCTACCAGCTATCTCTCGTGCATTTTGTATAGACTTGTTTGTTAAACTGTATAAAAGCCGGACCCTCTCACAGCACAGATGCAGACCTCACCTACGAGTGGACGCACTGCGTAGGACTTCCCAATTGCCGGGAAAGGCTCTCTGACCCTTCGCTGTGACGGGGCTCCCCAGCTGATGCACGGGTCTGGATGATGGTAAAGTAGGAGGGCAATTGGTGATGGATCTTTCTTAATCACTATAGCTAGCTTTATGTAGTAATGACTAGGTGCATTACCTTGCTTATTCTTTCTGCTGCTTTAAACTAAAGGAAAATAAGCCTATTTCTTTAGCTTGGTGTCTGTGTCCTTTGTGTTAACCCTGTCAACTGGCAAAACAGTGTAGTGTCCAGCATTCACAACACATGGACTTTATGTAACCTCCATTCCTTTTCAAGCATACCATAAAAATCACAGTCATTTCAAGTAGAGAAAAAAAACACAACACCTTAATGGCACAATTCCAACAGGATGTAACCACTGGCACTAAAAATCTATATATGAATCTTTTGGGGGGCCATGATATTTTCACAGGAATATGGCCAAATAAAGGGATACTATAGGCCCAAATCTTGATTAAGACTGCATGTGATTTCTACAAGAGATACATTCTTGCTCTTAGTGTCCCCTCCCCCTGAAAAAGTTATCATTTTTTTGTGTGAAACCTAATTTACCTACTAGCTTTCAGACACAGAGAGAGAGACAAGAACCAGGAAATTCAGTACATTAGAGAAAACGATTTTTGAGTGATTCAGTTGCCAAAGTGATAAAGGAACTAGTAAACTAATTGTATAAATATACAGAAGGACCATTTGTACCTGCATCAAGATCTTACTGGATGATCCACAGACACCACACTGGAAATTAATTTTTGCCTTGACTCCATCTTTTTTCATTTCCCAAGTTGACCTCATGACTAAATTCAGATGTCTTAACTGAGGCCAGTATCTTGTGCAGAAGGAGCTGCTAGCAAATCCCTGGACTATTGTGTTGTACCATGTTAGTTAATATAACTGCCTCTTACACTGTCTGTCTATCCTTATATACCACTTTCTCACAGAATAGAACCGAAATATAAAATCTCTAGTACACACATGGAAAAAATGTATGTTATCAACAGTTAAGCATATAATTAGCACTGAAAATAGTCTCTTTTTGTGTGCCCTTGCACACAAATCAATAATGTGGAGTGATAGGCAGGTAAAGGCTACCTGAAGTAAAACCAGCATAGTTTCTGTGGTACACTGATAAAAGTGCTTTGTTACTCAAGTTCTCAGGCTACATGTCGGGCCAGAACACTGGAGTTTGAACAGATGGTGATGCACCAACTCACATTAGCAGACTGATGTTTAGAGATCAGTGTGTTGAGATGACAGCATAGCTGCAAATAGCCATGAAGTATGGTTCCACAGCTTCCAGTCTTTTATCAGAACATACAAAGTGAATGGTGATGGTAATGCCCCCTGAGGTTTATTTTGGGGCGGTTTCACACACAGATACATGTGTGAAAGGCAGAAGCCTCACTTCCTCCATCTTCTTCTACAACCATGTCAGACAGACCCTGCTGGAGCATTGTGAGAAATGCAATTCATATCTCCAACAGAGGATAATAGTGATAATCAATAATCCATTTTCCTATTGCAAAACCAGCCTTCATAGAAGAAACTTCTACCTTCACATGGGAAAATATATTAAGGATCTCAGCCTCCAGATATGGAGTGCTCTGTTGACTGCATTAGGCACTTATCTACTTTACAAACTCTTCTTTTTACTTACTGAAAGAGAAGTAAAGCTCATGTTAGCAACACCAGGCTGACCCAGCATCCAGACTTTGCTGAAGAGTTACAGTGCCCTGTTTACCACTTCATGTATGTTAGCCATTCTTTCTGCTAAGAAATGAGACTACAGCAAAATATGGTTTTGTCCATGGGACTGACAGGCAGTAAAACATGGAAACTGACGAGTCAAAATATCAAATACTTTCTTAAAAGTTGAATAATATGTTTTACCTATCATTGTATTTCACCTCCTCTCCATTCTTAGACCAGCTGATGGTGGGCTTTGGGTTTCCCGCCGCTTCGCAATGAAGTAGCACGCTCAGTGTGCCACCGGCTAAAACCACTGTCTGTCCCAGGTGGGTAACAACCTCTGAAGCAGAAAGCTGTTGTGCTGCTGAAATCTTTCGAAGAATTGCAGGCTTTTGATGAGGTCTGCCCAAGCCATTTGACATATCTACAGAGGTGGGAAGAAATGTTTCAGCGGATGATGTCCTCAGGGAGCTGGTAAATCCAGAAACGTGTCTGTGGAGAGGGTACTCCACCAAGGTTGAATCTACTCCTCTCCTTGATGCTTTGAAGACAGATCCTTGGTGCTCCAAGTGGCTCTTGAAAACCTCGTGAGCCAGCTGCACAACAAGCTGCTCAGAGTAGACATCTTTAAGCTCCTCAGGCTGATGAGACAAATTCCTTATGATATCGTCCAAGCGTTTCTGCTCTGTGACCATAGTAAATGGCAGGTTATACTCCTGGCTCTGGTCCTCCTCTGAGGATGCATTTCTGTCGGTGGACTCCTGGGCTTCCCAGGACTCCAGATCTTCCCCTGGCCAGCTCCTGTGCTGTAGAAGCCTTGAGACAATGTCGTCATACCACCTGCTGGGGTCAGCAAGGTGTCCTCGCTTTTCAGGCTTGCTCCCGTTGAAAAGAATCCCATTGATATGTTTCTCCTCTGTTCGCAAGGCTTCATTTAAACTGGCCTTTCTCATGGCCTCTTCCTCCCTAATAACAGTTGGCTGCCCAGCAATGATCTTCTTGTTGCTTCCAATAAGTTTAACTACAAAATGCTCCTGGGCTGGCCCTGCCATGCAGGTGTATGTCCCAGTGTCTGAAGGCTTCAAATGATGGATTTTTATGTACCCATAGGGTACAATGGTGATGTGAGCTGAGCTGACAAGCCTCTTGTCATTCTTCTCCCAAATGATCATTGATTTTTGGAACCTCCTTGTGGGGCATCGAAGAATAACAGATGTTTTGGGCAGCAGGTAGGCATACCCACCCACAATAAAGTGTAGCTTCTTTTGCTTCCTTGTCTGGATGTAAACTTTCTTTATGGCCATAATATGGGGGCTTTCCTTATGAGCTGGTCTGTTGTGCCCTGGAATATCATTAATACTATTAGTATGTCATACTGTTAAACCAAACAAGCAGTTTACTTTGGTGCTGGCAGCATTTGACCCATTAGACAGTAATGGGAGAAACTGGACACCAGATGCTGAACATTAAGTTGGAGCACTCAAAATAAGAGGAATAACAAGGTGCGCTTTAGGAATGCAGAATTAGACCCACCCAGGGAACATGCAGAATTAGACCCACCCAGGGAACATGCAGAAACCATACACCCAGGGATAAAATCTTTATGGAGTGAGAAAACTTGAGTGGATATGTAGTTCTTGTTACTAAAGTATTTAAACTGAGATTGTTGCTTAGTAAATACATTGAAAAAACAAATGTTTATCATCCAAACCCTCATAGGCAAAATGATCTTGCAGCTTACATCAGTAAGGAAGAGTGAAGTGCTGCTACCTCAGGCAGTAATTTGAACAGAATTAAACTGTCTGGACTACGTTTACAAACACAGTAAATACTATTAAAGTGCACTAGTTCAGTGTGTCCTTCCAGTTTCCAGATCTCTACAACAAAGATCTTTGTTATGAAGCACTAAATAAAACAGCAATACCTATTATTCTACTAATTATGATACTAATAATAGGTATATTATTAGCAAATACCATGCAACGTTTGGACTCAGCATTGGATCTAAACGTCAGATCTTTTCTCCCTGACATACCCAACATTTAAAAGTTTCAGAGTTCATAGTTTTAAGCCAAAGATAGGCTGAATTTTGAACTTTTGCATATCCAGTTGGCTTACTGTAAGCCAGGGAAGGGCACACAGGGAGACTACCACTGTTGTGAAGGGCAAAAACAAATGCATGAAATACCAACATAAAATACATCTAACTTATGTTGCATGGTTCATTAGAAATCTCGGGTCATTGACAGTTCTGAGTGGCATGATGAAATAATAAATTTTTAAGTGATCTTCAAAAAAATCCCTTAGCAACCATTTTCTTTGCAGCTGTTCTAGCAGATAGTTTATTTGTGGCTGCGCTCAGGCTCCTGTGCTATATTTCTGAGCCTCTATATTCCAGTTGTGACATTTAGATCTAGATTTGGGTCAGAATTTTGAACCCGTTCTTCCAGAAACTAGTAGCTCCCTTCCAGCACATTGGCTCAGACTCAGCTCCAACAATAAAATTTATAGCTTGCATCCACTGACTTGCCTTATAGCTAAACAAAGCATACTTGTTCACAGACAGAAAAACTCAGCAGCAGCAGCTACTCTGCAAGACCGAGTAACACTATATCAAGAGATGGTTATGGAGCAGGTGACAGCACAGATTTCTTAGTGATGATCATCCAAGCCCTCTTTTGCCAGACACTCCCAAGCATCTTTTCCACTTACTTGCACAGGTGCCTAGTGCACAGGGCCTGATCAAGGATGAGAATGGCAAAGGTGGGCACAGTGAGGAATTGATGGTAACAAATCCCTCGGTTTTCCGCATCTTTCTGCAAATGGCATTTCGACTCTGAATGCCCTCTCCACAGCTCACTGAACACTAGGAACAGAATAAGAAACATTAGGAACCAGGTGTATTAAATGCAAAAGGGTGTTCCTTGTCACATACAACCCCTCATCTCCCATATCCACATTGCATACTCATACCATAGTACAGATCATTTACAGCTTTCAAAATACCACAGTGGAATAAAGCAGAGCAGCACCTGGCCATTCAGTTATAAACAGTGCAGGCACAATATGGAGATGAAATAACAGGTCTTTTCTGACCTTTGAGGCTTTGAATCATCCCATGCTCCCTTTTTCACTATTTTCCTCTTGAATGGTGTCCCTTGTTTTAGTGGTACTGTGCTACAGTATAAAGCTGTCTTTGCACTTAGTTCCTGTATGTCTGTGTCTGCTGGCTGGAAAAACTCCGGCTCATAGCCAGGAGCAGGCCATGTTGAGTTGCGCTTCACATACATCCTGTTCTGCTAAAATCTGGCCTAAACATAATCTTTGAGCTTTACTGTTGCAGATCTATTAGAAATAATAAATGGATGAATGTTTCAGATTCCAATGAGTTACCGCAGCCTGGTAGTTACTCGAAGTGGCTTACACAAAAGAGTATAAATCTGCTAATACCAGACTGTGGTGCTCAATGCACAAGTGGGCATTGTTCGGTGGAATTTAGCATGCCTGTTTTATATCATGTTTATTTATACAGCATCACAGAAAGTGAGAATACAGGCAGTTCCACTGTACTGGAACCCAGGAAGCAGTTTGTAAAGGTGTCTGAAAGTTGCTGTAAAGTTGGTAGCACAAAGATACACAAGCACTTATGTTACATGTAGGTGCAAAACCAGAAGCCTTTAATTGAAGAAGAGCAAAAACATGGCAGCCTTTAATTAAAATGGGGAGGAGAAAGTGAAGTCATACTTGATTTTTGTAAGTGCCAATACCCAAATATGTGAGTTCTATGAATGTCAACATAAACCACGTAGCAAGTTCTTGTGAAAGAGGATACATTAGGAATAGAATTACCATCTTCACTGCCAGAATGGCTACGTGTGTTCTGGCAGTAGACTTCATGAGAACATCCACTTATTTGAGTAAAATTTCAAGAGAGATGAGCATATGAAGGCTGCAGGTGGGGCAGGTCTGTGAGCTGTCAGGTGTTTCTTTCACAATTAAGACAATTTCCACCTCTTTTTATGAATGGGAACTGGGAGAGTGGGGGCAGAGATTGCAAGTTGGGGACAGATTTTCATGCTTTGTAGCATTAAAAGGTCAAATTATACTGTCATAAGTATAAAGGGAAATTTTCTTAAGACATATGGGGAGAAGAAGGGAGCCTGGGGAAGTGCAAGAGACTTCAGTAGAGTGAGGTTTTTTGCAATCCCCTAAAAACTGAAGGAAAAAAGTAGCTAGCTAACATCTCAAAAGTGGTGTCCTAAAATGAAAGAGGCTTGGTGTCTGTAATGATGTGACTATAATAGACTGTAGGAATCCTTTCTCTTCTCTGCATCATAAGGAAATTTTGGAGTGGCCTCAAGAGGAAAAGACTATTGACATCAGAACAGCCAGGCTTTAGGAAGAAAAAAGCATTTACCTTGGAGAAGTAAACATTACTCTTCACTGATGCCTTGGATGAACATATGTATAGGCATTGACAGAGGCAGGGATTTATTGTTTTGAACATGGCTTGTGTTTACATCAAAAGTGAGGTCATAATGGTTTGCCTGGATAGCTGAATCACATCTGTGGAAGCAATCTTTCAAAGAGGAACGTTGATCTAGTGATCACATCCCCTATCAGGGGAAGGTAAGGTAAGGACAGATTACAGGACAAAACTGGGCATAACACGCTTTGTGAAGTCTGAGCTCATTCGGCTCTTCTATCCCACGTGACTGAGGAACTTCATCACCAAGAAAAGCACAATATTAATGCACACAAATAGCATACCTGTGTCCAGTCAGAGAGAAGCCACTCATTGGGACAATCCTCATTTTTACAGGCTTCTTGGGTAACTGGTCTTGGCATGGAGCAGAAGGTTTCTGGCAGCTCTAACAAGCTTCCATCTGCCAGGCGCTGCTTACAAAGTATATCTCGCTTCTGGATACCACTGCCACATGTCTGTGAACACTGTGGGAAATGAGAGTCAACCACCTTACCTCGCACTTGCACTATGGCAACTTGCAGCAAAAATTACTTGTGAATTTGGGAAGAAATCAACTCTCAGCTTTGGCCAAATGGAAAATGTAAAAAAAATATTTCAGAGACATCAAAGTTGACTTCTTTTTAAAATGTCAGAAATATTCTGGAAAGTGGAAGCAGCTTATTTTGCTAATATTTAGAAAAACTGCTTCAGTATTTCTAACATGTTCCATTTTCAGGTGTTTGTACAAAAGACACAGAAACAATGGGTCAGAATTGCAGTATTGAGGTGGAAAAGTTGTCATTTCCTGTAACTACCAACTGGAAAAAATAAACGTTTGCATATGATATGGCTGATCCACATTCTAACATCTCTGCCTGAGCTCTGACTGTGCTACTGACAGTGCCAGAGAGAGTGGAAAAGTCTTCTCCAGCATTAGATAATTCAAGACCTTTGTTTACAGGATTTGATTATACATATTAGATAACAGTAGCTGTGAACTAAATAGTTAGCTTGAACTAAATACTCAAATTTAGCTTGTTAAAAAAAGGTTTGCAGTAGCAAGAAAAACAAATGGAATTTTAAGAGTGTGATAAATAAAAATTTCTCCAGTTTATCACTTTGTTTTTATTTCCTCCTGTAATTTTCTCACTTCCAGTTTTTGACCTGCATGAGTTCTATTGCTAGCACAGCTCAAAACTTAACTGTCCAGCCCAGAATTCCTGTTCTTGAAGACTTCTTGCACTATGGCAGTTCTCTAATTTTTAATTCATGCAAAAGCTGTATATCAGCTGCAATCTGCTGTAAGTCTCAGTAACTGGTTTATAAGGTTAATATAATAAAACATAAAATACCCACGTAGCCCTTTTATATTTACAACTGTCATGACAGCAGTGTCTACTCTTTCCAAAAGGTAAGAAGGAAGGTTTATTTGAGTCAAAGTAAATTGGGATGATTAATATCCAGAGAACTCACCTCCCCTCTCTCTTTAATGTAAATATCCCTCTCTGTCCATTTTCTACTCAAGCAGAGCAGGAAATTTTGAACAAGCAGATTTAATAGCTTTCCTGAATAATCTTTGTAAATTTGTTTTTTTTTCAGTTCTTTTTCCCAAGGATCTTTTTCTTGAGGCTGGTAACAGGCTCCCTGTTTTTCTGCTCAGTCCAGACAGCTCAACTCATTTCTCCCTTCTTCTAGCAAAGAAGTGGGAGCTTGCACTATACTGACATGACCAGGAGTTGCTTATAGCTTGAAACATAGGATTTATGCGTGAGGAGCAGAAAGCCATATGAAGAAGTATAACAATGTATATTCAAGCAGTAAAAAAATGACTGAGCAAATCTTGCAGTCATAAAAGGCCCTTCTCTCTTAGATAGAGGGAGCTGCATAAACTTTAATGATAGCCTGATTACTTAGGATATACATTTTCCTTGAAAGGCAGAAAGGAAGTGCAGAAAGACATATTTATACTCAATTTGCTTTGCTCTCTAATGAGTAAAACTTGCTTTTCTCCTACTTACTTAGAATGCTACAAAACTCAAAGTCTTCCAAAAAATTGAACAAGTAAAACAACACTTTAGTTTTCAACAAGAGAAAACATTTATCAACCTTTAATTCAAGGACAATACATTCCTGAGGAGAGAGTAAATCAAGAAAAATATGAATAAAAGTATTATTTCAAGACAGCCTAAGGACTGTCATCATATAGCAGAGCCAATATGGGTTAGGCACTGTATGAATACAACAAAAGCATGTTCCTTCTGTCAGTCAATCAGATCCCAGGAAATCTTCCTGCCCTTCCATCACTATCAGATAAAAGAGTAAAACAAAACAGATCTTTTCTTGCTTCTTGCCCTTCAGTCACTTACATAGCTTTGTTCTGTGAAGAATAAATTGCTACTCAACACCAAACTCTATTGCTAAGTGTCAGAGAGAGCCAAATGCAGTAATGAGATTCCCCCTAGTCTGCAGGAATGCTCTCCTAGGACAGTCCTGGATTATTGCACTGGAACTGTGTCTGCACCTGTATTTTACCTCTGGAGCCTTCACTACTTTGGGATCTTTGCTGTTTTTTCTCTAGTGGAAGCTTCCAGCACTCACATTTTTCCAAGAAAGGGGGTAATCCATGGTATCAATGTCTGCTTGTATTTACAGGCAATATGAAACAGTATTTTTTAGAGGATCCTCATTCAGACATATCCCATCTGAATAACTTGCTATCTCTGCTGTTCAGAAAGATCTCACAGCAGTTGCAACAGAGAAAGGTGCTTGTATCACAGGTTGGTTTCACCTTGCCCACTCAGGTAGGTAAAATGTGGCTGTTTGAACTATGTCTATACTACTACTCCCCACAGCTTCTGAGCAGAGCCAAGCCCGATATCCCCTGACATTCCTTTATAGGGGATCTGGGACTTTGCCAGGGTATCAACTTCCAGAGTGGCATCTTCCCACCCTGGTCTCTGATTATGGCTAGTTCAACAATTAGCTTAAGCAAACATGAGGCAAGGCTGACACCAAGGAAGGCAACATATACACCCAGTTCTGCTAGCCAGTCATTCCTGGTTTTGTGCTGCCTTTTCCCAAATGGTGATGTAAGCATTTGTGTGGCTGCATAGTGAACCAGAGTGGAAAATTAATCTAGTCTAAAGGTAATTATATTGCTGGTTAGCTTTAACTAAGACCACTGTGTGATTGCGCAGCACTTCTGGAGATAAAAGTGAGTGGGTGCTATAAGGGCAAGAAAGAGATTGCTGAAGCAGCTATTTTCTCCTTTTGTAGAAGTGCTGGCATATGTCGCCCTAAACTGCTGGTGGAACTCTGGCCTTGGCTTCCCTCACAGCAGTCATTGTTTTGGTGTCTGTTCTGCTCATACAATAGTCTGTAAACAATAATTAACACAAAGAATTGATAGTCACTGTTGAAAGCAGAGAGGGAAAGTGGGCCATCTCTCTGCCTCAGCACATGCCTATGAGCATCTATGAAAATGCATACAATGCACAGGATTCAGGCAAAACCACTATTTCCATTGTTTGGGAGGCAGGAAAGCTGGTCTCTTTTCAAACTTGTGGAAAAAAAAAAAAGCCATTATTAATGAAAACTAAAAGGGCTAGGCAACTATCGCTCAGCATCATAACTGTTACCAGTTTGGGGCAGTAGCTGAATGTTTGAAAGGATGTAATTTTATGGTCAGTCTTGCTTACAGGGACAATTGAAGGAGGGGTTGGACGACCCCTCAGCTCTCCTAGGTGATTTGATTTTGCACTGCCTTCTGCTCAAGGTGATGGGAATACATCAGTACAGATTTTGGCCTCACTCTTGAAATGAATTCTCTGCTATGGCTTTACAGTAATATAAAGCATCTACAAAGGGAGTAAACATTTTTCTCTCAGCAGGTCTTCCAGTTGCTTTCTATGATGCTTGAAGATTTAGAAAGGACTTTTACAATATGGAGAAAAAATAGATAGGAAAATATCTGAAAACGTTACCAATTTTCCCATACTGAATTTGTTGTCAAGCCATTGCTCTAATTATCTTTGGAGCAACGATAGCACCAAGAAGCTAAAAAAGAATTCTGGGACTGAGGCTGTGGCACTTATTCAGTAATAAAACAAAAGAGGATGAAGATTTGCTAGTGGATGTCTATCATTTGAGGTCTACAGAGTAGATATTTATAGAGCTTTGCAAAAATTAAAGCTTATATCCACCTTCCTCCAGAAGCACACTACTGCAAAGAAGATAAACAACCTAATGGATTTAGCTAAGTAACAGAACTATTTAAAAATAAATAGTCTTGAATCTGTAAAGAGGTATTTTAAAAATCTTATAATTATTGTGTGTTTATCTGCCAGGAATACTGGGGCTTCTAATGGCATTTAATTTGGACAACTCCTCCTCAACAAGCGTAAAAGGCCGTAGAAGAGAAAACACTGATCATTGCCGTTTAAATCTTTGTTTGCTTGTTTGGTTGAAACTATTGTGAGAGAGTGCTCTGAAAAGCACAATGAACTGCACAGATTAGAGCAAAGAAATGGCTTCAGACCAGGCTGTGTGGAGAACAGATGTTACCCTGTAGTGTTGGTGAAGCTTTAAAGGACCTTCCTTAGAGTGAGGAAGGCACCTTCCCACAAGGCACACCATCTCCCCATATGTGGGGAACCCTCAGGGATTTGGGGGGAGGAGAGGTGTTGTGGGTCCCTTAATACAAGGAAAGAAATCCTCCTGCAGGATTTCTTCTGCTGGAGGGCTCTGTTGCTGCTCTGCTTCATGTCTGGAGCTTGCCTCCAGGAGAAGTCAGCCACTCACATACTGTCCAAATGGTCTTTTCACTCACACATCCCAGGAGCCAACAGCTGTAATAATTCCTAAGTGCAATGCACTGGTCTGATGGTGCAGGTTTTCACACGGCGGTTATCCATAGGAAACCTGCATGACACTGAACTGCAAGGCCTGGTTTACTTACAGGGTGGAAATAACTGTAGAAAGGTTGGTGTTGTAAAGGAGGAAGACAGACGTCTTTAAAAAATGAGAGAATGGAAATTAATTTTTTCTTGCACTAAACTTATCTAAGTAGAGGCAGAAGACAGTAGGTAGAGAAGTACACTTTTTTTGTGTTGTTTTCTCCTGGTGAAAGGTAAGCACAGGAAATATTCAGTGCCCATGTAGTGAGGAGCTACATACACAGCTGGCCAGCCTGAAGAGCCTGTGGATGCACAGAAGAGCTGTAACGTGACCTTCTTTAAGCTGCAGCAATGAATTGCAGCACAGGTTCTCTCTCTCCACCCAGCCCAGAAAAGTCAGCAGCTAACACAAAAGGTGTGAACTAAGCAGTTTGATTCAATTCCTGATTAATAAGCTTGCTAAAATCTTAATACTTAATAAAGCTCCCTCCTCCCTAAGATCTGCTACAGCTTTCGAAAAGACAACATATTTGAGTGTCCCTGAGCAGATTAAAAAATGTCTAAAACATTACTTTAGACAGGTGGATATACGCGTGTTTACACTGTTGAGGAAGTTGTTCAAATCTTTAAAAAAAATCCTGTTTGGAAATTGCTCAAGCAGTGACTATTTTGTTACCATTCTAGAGTGGCCTATAGTTAATGGTCATTTTTAGCAGAAAGTCAGTTTTTTGGCATGCTGTAACGTATGTCTCTCCTGAGACAAATAATCTTGCAGAAAATTGCTTTCTGTAAGAAATGTGGCCAATTATAAGATTTTTAACGAGCACAGTCACACCTTCTAATATATCCTAACTTTCAAATGCTTGACTTTATTAAGTTTTGTATTATTAGAATACTGTTTTTTATTCACAAATATAGCATTTATGTATGACTCTCCCAAAGGGAGAGTGTCTAACACTCATTTGTGACTCTGAAGGATGAGGAGTGTTTCTTGTGCTAAACTAAATTTTTATTTGAGAATATACAGAATATCCAACACACTTTAGAGATTCTCTCCTCCTTTGTCCTTTGTATTCCTAGAAACCTTGGCATTGCTAACCCAAATCCACTCACTGTAACTGACCATCATATTCCAGATATTTTTGTCTAGAATCTATAGCCAGCTGTTAAGAGTTCCCAGTAACTTTGCATTAGAAGTAGATATAGTAATTATTTACCTCTGAAAATTCTAATGAATTTTTTTAAAACAGCAAAAAGGCACACTTTTTCTGTTTTTTAATGTCTCATTGGAATTATCAATGAATCCTCTCAATGGGCTAGACCAAAATGGTACATTGATAAAGGATGAAAAGACTACTCTTAGCAGTCTTAAAATGAGATTACAAATACATTCTTACCTCTTGCCATTCTGTAGGATACCAGGACGGTGGGCAGTCAAAGCGATTACAGGCTTGAACGAGGGATGGCTTAGGTTTATAGCAAAATTCATCTGCCAAAATCACAGTCTCATTAGTCTCTCTTGATAGTAGATGAGAGCAGAAGACATCTCGTGTTTGCAGTCCAACTCCACAGGTAAGACTGCAGGTGCTCCATTTCCTAATCTCCCATCTGTGAAGGGGTCAGGACAGAAAATCTTAAACACAGAATAAAAACACCTTAATTATTCTCATTTTATACTGGCAGATGGAGTGAAGAAGCAGTAAATGAAAAGGGATTTTCCTCTGATCACCATCACCCTTCTTGTAATTGCAGCATGAGGCTAAGAATATTTCTTGTTCCTCTGCATTTTCAGTTTTTGTCAAAAGCTCTGGGTCTTCAAGTCTTTGGGACTCCTGCAATATCACAGGAATAGTTTCGTGTCCTAAATTAAAAGTTTTTGGTGTGCAGGAGCCTGGACAATGTATTTCAAGATTGAATGGATTTAATTAGTTGGGTTATTTCCCGTCTTTAACAAAACAAATGAAGATATTAACCAAGTCCATCAAGGGAATGTATCAGTGAATTTCTGTGCAGGAATTTCTTTCAGAAAATTGATCCAGTTGTGGTGTTCTTGACTGACTTTTCCTTGTTGTGGAGGTAGGGAGTGCTAGAGCCTTTAGAGATGCAACAGGAGAGCAGGGAGATCCTCTTCAGTCCCTGGGTGAACACCTGTCACTGAGCCACTCTCCTCTGAGCTAGCTATATAAATCCTGCATCAACAGGATTGTTGATAACTGAATTTAAGTGTTCATCACATTAAAACCAAATTTCTGCTGTTTGAGCTCTATTCAATACAACCGCTATTTCTATCAGCCATATACAGAAAATTGCTTAAAATATAGGTTTTCCACTATTGTACTCCACTAGAAGGCTCTCTACTACATTTCAGAGGCATGCAGAAATGTGTACACAAAAAAATCCTTTACTCAGAATATCAGAAAATAGTCTTCCCATCAACTTTAAGCAAAACTCTACACTGACCTGGACATACTCCCACATCCAAAATGAATGTATGAGAGCCAGATACTGCCACTTTTACTAATTGTGAAGAATAGCTTCCTCTCCTGCATGATGTTGTTGAAACTGACTGCTGGGGGAGTAAATTAAACATTCAGGACAAGGAAGACTCAGAGAACCTGCCCTTGAAGAAAACAAAGCCAGGCAGAAACTATAGGGACTGACTATGAAGAAAGACACCCTCAGGCTCCAAGCAGGATGGAGGCAGACAATGAAGGAAAGTTATGAAACATGTCAGAAGCATGAACCAGAATTTGTGGAAGAAGCAGAAGAAAAACACTCTGAGAGTCTGAGATCAGCAGTCAACTGAAACTTCACAGCTCATTTAAAATGCATCATGTTAGCACACATTATGGGAATAATCATTCAAGGTTGTGCCATCCTACAGTCATGGAACAGTTCTAATTTCTCTATTTCATAAAGTTGTTTTGAGCATTTGTTCCCACCCTCTCAGTAACACCCATAACAAATTGAAACTGCTAGTAGGTAAGAAATATTTTTATCTCCCTAGATGACCATGCTGATGGACCAAAAATCTGTATTGGTCCCCTTCTGTGCTCCATTTGCTAATGACATTCTTTGATTTTCTAACAAGAAGGGATATGTCCTGAGCATCACTGTCGGCACTAACAACACTGTAATTTCCTTTTAGACAGTAGCCTTAGCTATGCTAGTAACAATGACAAAAATCTGTTTAACCCATTCTAACAATTAACACATCTTGCATATTGAATTAGAAGTTACCATCATCACTTTCCAGGCCGTAATACACTGAAGGCCACTAAAGCCTGATACGTGTAGCAGGAGTTATTTAGCAGTGGAATAGGAGTGACATCTGGCAGTTGGTCAAGCTAATCTGGAGTATGTTCTCCATATGAATGATCTTGGGGGTGAGGTCTTCTCATATTTCCCCATAAAATTTTCAGTCAGAATTAACATGGATATCAGCTACCCTTCAGTTTTGGCACAATCTAAAATAAGATATTTGAGTAGGTGCTGAAAAGAAGGCATTTTCTTATTTCAGAATTTATTTTGATACATGGTTAGTTGCCAGGGTTTCTTCTATTCAAGTGATGGTAATAGCTGTTGCCTCCAGCAACTCATTGTTTGTTACTGGTATAAGTACACAATGTTTCTGTTGGCAGTTCACATCTCAGTGGCTATCAGGACACATAAATTATTTGGACATCTTGGCTTATGCAGAAGAAACTATCTGCTTCTTCTTCAAAAAAAAAAAAAAAAAAAAACAAACCCGCTGTGTTTCAGTAAAAAGAAAGGATTTGTTTTTCCAGATTTTGAAATTTCTGTTGCAGGTTGAATCTGTTGCCTTACCCGTAACATTAGTTTGTTCACAATTCTTTCCAGCTGCTTTAAACAGGATATTCCTTAGAGGTGCTCAGTAAATATAAGGTCAAATTACAAATTACAAGTACCCTTGTACTTTCATAGTCCCCAGTGGCTTTTACAGGCTTTCATAGATAGAAAGTAAAGAACATAAAGTAGACCAGAGACATGCAAAATGGAGTACGGATGTGCACGTGACTGAAACCATAAATGATATATGTGATTGGCAGAATTTCAAAGTCCTAAAAAACACAGAGAAGATCAGTGATAGTCTTACAGAATAGAATCACAGGGCTGTAGAATTATTTTATAATAGCTACAGGTGCTTGAAACACTTTGAACTAATATCCTACTAAATTTACAATTTAGTTTTCAAACTACTTGTACTGTTGGAAAAAATATATATTTTTTTAAAATACTGCTTTTATGTAGTAACAGTTTTACATTTACTGTAGAGTGTTATGTGACATTAACTGAAATAATTCCTGTCATTTCATATGGTCATTATCTGTGCATTCCTCTGTCTCTTTTTGTTTTGGGTATTTTGACTATACTGAATGTCCTACATGTACCTGACAATATCAGAATTAAAAATCAAGTAGGAAATAATTATATACTTTAAAAAGTGAATATGGTAGTTGCAGGATCAAACTAAGGGAACCTTGTGCAAGTGGAACTGTCATCTTTGTGAGCTGATGGTGGTTGTTAAGGTACAAATGTCAGGAAAAATCTGCATACTTGCTAGTTTACAGCCCAGGTGAAAGTCATAGGTTTGGTACTCTCTGTATTGTTTCCCAGAGCCCAATGAAGAGATTACGCGGTTTTCATCTGAAACATTCTTTTTATCCCTCCTTCTTTGTCCTCCACAAGTGCCCAAAGTTATACTAATATGTAGAAACAGAATAAAAAATCTTTTAGCCTTTCTTACAGCAGGACTTTGGCACATCCATGCCACTAAACTCCTGGCTTGTAACTCTAGGTCTATCAGTTCATTAGTTGCCTGTTTCCAGATCCTAAATACCTAACTAGTGGTTATATATTTAAGCACAAACTAAACTTTCACAATATTTCAACTACTGTACTTCATAAACAACAGAATTCAAAAGGTTTTCATGCTCTGCAGAGGCTGACATACATATAATATGAGGAGTATTTTAACTCATTGAAGGAAAACTATATTAACACAGAACCACAGAGACATTTAGAGGTGGTTAACAGAGAGGAATATAACAGGAAAAAGGCAGTTCATAGGGCTGGATATGTTGAAATGGATATGTGTGTATTAGTGATATATGTATTAGAATACACATACATGCACATTTTCCAAATGAACATAAATGAAAAGAAGTTTCCACTGGAAATGTATAGGGAGCAGAGGATGGTCCCAAAATACAGCTTATTTCAAGTATCATCACAAATTCAGAATACAAAACTGATCACAGAAATTTTTTACTTTCTAAATGAACAATTTCCAGCAGACTGTTGTGATGCCTTAGTAGCTTTTTTTAGAGTTGGTGAAGTATATGAATACATACAATGCAAATGAATATAGGCAAACTGAGCAGTGACCCTGATCTGAATGCTCAAGGCAATGGTTTTCATTTAGGTTTTCTTATACACAATGCTAAAGGTGTGGTCTAAACACTGGACATAAATTCATGAAACACTCAATCAACCTGAGCACTAAATTTCCTGCACTTCCAGAAACTATAAACTAACAAAATGGATTAGTAATGGTGGCCTGGTTTGGGCTGGAATAGAGTTAGTGTTTCTTCTTGGTAGCTAGAACATTGCTGTTTTCGATACAGTATGGGGTCTGGTATGAGAAGAATTCTGATAGCACACTGATGTTTTCAATTGTTGCTGAGCTTTCAAGGACTCTCCAAGTCCCCATGTCCTGCCTGTACGCAGGTACACAAAGAGCAGGGAGGGAGTGTAGCCAGAGCACTGGACCCAAATTGGTTAATGAAATATTCCATATCATGTGACATCATGTTCACTATATAGAGGACAGGTGGCTGGGAAGGGGCTCTCTCTCACATCCTGGATTGTGATTGCAGGATCTTGGTATTTTGGGATCGCTAGCCAGGAACATGCTGGGTATCAGTCAGCAGGTGGTGAGCAACTACATTGTGCACTGCCCATTTATACTTTCTATTATAGTCACTGCTTTATTTTATTACCATTATTAAACTGTTTTTATATAAACCTGTGAGTCTCCTTTTAGCCATCCTAATCCCTCCCCCATTCCCAGGTGGGGAGGCTGGACGAGCGGCTGAGTGGTGTTTGGCTGCTGACCAAGTTCAAACCATGACAGTCTTTTTTGGCACACAACATGGGGCAGAAGGATGTGATTTGATAAGGATATTAATTGGGAGAGGTAGGGGGAAAAACACAGACTGAACTCTGTTGGTGGAATGATCTTTGGAATTTCTGTAGTTGTAATTGTGGGGAAGTTTTTTTCTGGTGTGGTGAAGGAACTAGGTGTGAATTTTGTGTATTGTGCCTCAGTATTTTGTCAATGTTATTTTTATTTTGGTGTGGAAAGGTTTTTTTCCTATTTCAGTTGGGTTCTGTTCTCTTTTTGTTCTGATATTGATGCATATACAATCTTCTGTAGTGAATGTGGATTCTCATGATAATTCTTAAATGTGTGATTTACAGAGGTGAGGGGTGGAATGTCCTGGGTTTGAGTGAGTGGTGGGGTTTTTTTTGGTAGTAGGGGAGGGGGCTATAGGGGCGGCCCCCTGTGAGATGCTTCTCAAAGC